CCAACTTGCACTTTTTTTCCTGTGGAAATTTTTCTGGCGGCAGCTCTGAGCTCGTGCACGGACCATGTTCAAGTGGCCAGCCAAAGTTTGCGGCTTGCCTTCCACCACTTTGTGTGGTTGCGGTCACGTGGCGATACGTGATACCGGCGGGGCACAAGTTGGCCAAAAGTGCTCCGTAAAGTACTCGGTACTCCCCCATACATGCAATTCACAATTCATGGACATGCACGGTGCCCAATGATTGTCACTTTGGTCACGGCCAAGTATTCACGTAGCCGCGACGAGAAGAAATGGTCGATGCGTTCATTCTAAGAAAAACTCGGATGTCTTCTTCAGGTTGCCAAGGCAACATATTTTCTACTCCTTTCTTCTCTATCCTAATTATTTGGGAACCCATCCCGAAGGTTATCGTATTTAGTCTCGGGATATGTGATGCAGTTGTCCAGCTTTTGAAGACAACCCGGACCACCAAACGTCTCCACGACGGTTGAGATCAAGCTGTCTGATCCTGACTTATCACCACTGCTCTCCCACCACATGGCTCCGCCCAGCGCCCTCTGTTTGACATACTCTGCCTTCGTCTTGGCCATGGCGGCGGTGTCGTAACTCACAAGCTTGCGGTTGGCCGCGCTGTAACAGTAACTGGCTTGCGCTTGGTCATCTGAGAACTCCTCTGAGCCCTCGAGAGGCAATTTCTTATAGTCAAAGACGCCATTTTCCCAGGTCCCTTCTCCAACACCCTGAAAGGGCTTTCCAGGACCGTCAGTATTTTCAAAAGCCCGCCCGTATAAAGGCATGCCAAGCACAATCTTGTTAGCAGCAACGCCGTGACTTGTGTAGTAATCGATCGCTGCATTGGTGGAAAATGGTGTGGAAGCGTCGTTGCCAGGATAAATATTGGCCTGGTGTCCACTGACAGAGTCCCATGAACCAGCATAGTCGTATGCCATCAAATTCCAAAAGTCCAAGTACTTATCCATCTCGGCAATTTCCATCTTTTCGTAGTTATTGGGACCAGCAGGGCAGGCCACAGTCAACTCAAAGTGGTAGTTATCAACACACTTTGCAGCGTAGGCATCAAGCTCTTGGCGTACGGCAGCGAGCAGCTCAACATAGTTCCGTGCTTCCTCTGGATTTTGCGGATACTCCCAATCGATGTCGATGCCATCAAAGCCAAGGTTCTTCAGAAGCTCGACGCTGGATTTGGCAAACGTCTCACGACCCTGTCGTGTGCTGGCAGGGTTCTTGAAATTGGCACTGTAGGTCCAACCGCCGATGGAAAGAAGAACCTTGAGATTGCGGTTGCGCTTCTTCAAGAGGTTCAGTTGCTTGAGACAGCCATAGATGTTATTGCCGGTATCATTCCATGAGTCCCCTTCCCAATGGATATCTGTATCAGCCCATGTGTCCGTCAGGTGCCTGGGACTCATGAGCGTCTGTGTCATTGGTATAACATGGGGTGTTTGCAGCACTTACACTTCGCCAGTATCGGTCCGAACATTCGCGAACGCATATAGAACATGGGTCAGATTCTCGACAGGGAGATCCTGAGGCCTGTGCTTTCGGGCGTAGATTGCCCTAGATAACACTGTTAGTTCGTCAATTCTCTGACAAAGCCGCGAACAGTCAACTCACCAGTTTACAAAGTAGACTACCGTTCGGTACCCGTCGTTACCCATATTGCTCGGCGCGGAGGAAAATGTGGAAACAGAGTTATGCTGAATGCCAAAAAAACAGAACCAGACAAGCTGTAATTGCAGTGAAACAAATAATCAGCCCAGAGCAGCTAGGTTGAGAAGATTGTGTATTCGGCTAAGGCCGTTAGTCCATGCCCAGACGTAAGATGCCACTGATAGTTGGGTTGAAATGAGATGTCGACCCAAAGGCAAGTCGGCGCGCTTTACTCCGTATACAGATGGCGATGCTGGCTAGCGGGTTGTATGGGGGGGATGTATGGCTGCTGTGGAGAGAATGGAGAATGAGAACTTGGGCTCACCAATTTCATCAATATGGATGATCTCGTAAGTGGCTCGACGACGTCAAGAGAAGAAGTTACAAGAACCTATCTCAGTCAAAGAATGGTCTCACGCTGCTTGTGAGAAGGAAGGCGAGTGTTTGGCTTTGCTTGGACATGGAAGGAGGGAGATGTGGACAGCCGTCATTGCCCGTCATTGCCTCAGCCACGCACAAGCAGGTGCGGGTCATTGCTCTTGCAGTTGCAGGAGGGGTTTGCAGTCTGGTTGCCCGACCGGATATTGCAGCAGCGCTACGGAGTACAGTGCCGTATCAAAAGTCTGTCAAAAACCCACTTTTACAGCTAAAGTCGCCTTAAACACTACCTTATTATTCTATTAGCTTTTAATAAAAATAAAAGATATCTTATATTTATATTAATAAATACTTAATATTTATTAATATTAATAAATACTTAATATTTATTAATATTAATAAATACTTAATATTTATTAATATTAATAAATACTTAATATTTATTAATATTAATAAATACTTAATATTTATTAATATTAATAAATACTTAATATTTATTAATATTAATAAATACTTAATATTTATTAATATTAATAAATACTTAATATTTATTAATATTAATAAATACTTAATATTTATTAATATTAATAAATACTTAATATTTATTAATATTAATAAATACTTAATATTTATTAATATTAATAAATACTTAATATTTATTAATATTAATAAATACTTAATATTTATTAATATTAATAAATACTTAATATTTATTAATATTAATAAATACTTAATATTTATTAATATTAATAAATACTTAATATTTATTAATATTAATAAATACTTAATATTTATTAATATTAATAAATACTTAATATTTATTAATATTAATAAATACTTAATATTTATTAATATTAATAAATACTTAATATTTATTAATATTAATAAATACTTAATATTTATTAATATTAATAAATACTTAATATTTATTAATATTAATAAATACTTAATATTTATTAATATTAATAAATACTTAATATTTATTAATATTAATAAATACTTAATATTTATTAATATTAATAAATACTTAATATTTATTAATATTAATAAATACTTAATATTTATTAATATTAATAAATACTTAATATTTATTAATATTAATAAATACTTAATATTTATTAATATTAATAAATACTTAATATTTATTAATATTAATAAATACTTAATATTTATTAATATTAATATGTAGTTAGTAACTCCTCCCGAATCGACCTTTGAGGGCTTTTCCTAGGAAGCAGCAATTGGCCAGTTGCATCGGTATGTGTCAAAACGCCAAAACATCAAAACCCCCAACCCCCAACCCTCAAAAGGCCGTAGCTTCTATTATACGGAGTACGTCTGCAACAAAGCAAATCTGACTCTTCAGCACCTCGGTAGCTGCCAATGCTGCCTCCGCATTATTATCAATCCGCGTCTGGTCACTGCGGTTGGGAAGCCCAGTGACTGTGTCCCCACGGAGCTTCTCCAGGAGAGTGCGGAATCAAGATGCTGTCCGTCCACCGACATTGGATCCCGTAAACCCCTGGATGGCGCCAAGCATGGCAAAAACCTCCCGCCAAACTCAAGTCTCGACTTTGCCATCTATTCCTTCGCATTCAAGCCAGCCCCGAACCAGTGATGGTCCTCGCAGAACAGAATGGAAGACCCACTGAACGCCGACGAGGGCCACCAGGAACACGCCATCCCAGCCTTTTTGCGCCGCCACAAATGTCTGCAGGACACACGATAGTCGGAACCACGGCGCGACCCAGTGCACTGCCCTGTGCTCCGGAACGATAAACATGGGCTTGTTGAAAAGTGTGTCGATTATGCCGCGGTCGCCCATGAACAGGCTCCATTCCACAGCGTTGTCGTGCGATGCAACCAACATGCTTGCGTACGAAAAAGCCTCGTTGCTCTTATGTACGTCGACGGCCAGCAAATGGCGATGCAATGGGCAACTTGCGACACTCCACAGGCAAAGAGGATGACTGCAGCGCCATAGGCCCCGAGAAGGCATAGGAAAAACCCCAATAGCCTCAAGGCCACGCAGCGCAGGAGATGAAATAGCGGTTGCTGCCGCAGTGAACCGTAGCACCGTGCCTCTTTTCAAGGCTGCAACGTGGTAGGCCTTGGTCCGTCCACTCGGGCCAGAATTCTCCGTCTAATTCATCACTGGCATCTCTCGATTTCGAGCCTGAGCTGCTCCGTCGTCTTCACCATCTCGCTTCCTTGGAGAAAGATGCTCTGGCATTCTCATCGCTTGAGGTCGATCTCGAGCCAGCAAGTATCGAGCCATGGCTAGGCTGACCGCCCCATTTGCGCAGGGCAATGCGCTTCCCCAGGAACATCCCACACTGTTCGGCTCGATCCGCCTCTAGTGCTTGCCACGTCGAGGAATTTGGTCCCCCGGTCCAGCAGCCTGGCAAGCCAGATAAGGTCACCAGTCTTGGGAAGATGCCAATTGGCGGCCCAGAAGAGAGATGTCGCCCGTTATGATTTATTCGTCCCTCTGCGTGGCTAAATGGCAGACAAGAGGCCAGATGGCTGCCCATTCCGACACAATATTTGGGAGATGTGGACAGTCAATGACTGGCGCAACTCCTAGAGACCTCCGTCTGGACTCTGTACCGGATTGGAAGATTGGTGGGACTTCACTCATGTGTTTCTAGTACGATGAATAAAGTCTCGAATATCGTGCCACAATGTCGTTGAGGAGGTCGAAGTGGAGAAAGAAGGCCAGAACTTGGGGGCCATGAAAATACCGGTATTTAAATCAAACGAGGCTGTATGTCCTATGTAGGACGAATAGCTGTACGCAAAGGCATCAATAAGTCGAGGCGGACAAATGGACAGCCTCATAATATTAGGCAGCCTAAGCGGCATACAACAAGTCGAACAATAACAGCGGCATACACGCCCACCAAATCTTGGATGTAAATGATTTTACTCCAGGTAGCAACCCGATATGCCTATGCTATCAACATCTCTTCTGCTTTCCACTCAAATTGCCAGTCGTCGTAAGACCACTGAAAAAGGTCTACCCACTTCCAGAACCTCTCGCCATCCTTCCTGATACAAACGGCTGCTGTGTCGTCAAAGACATCTCCCATGTCATTGCCGTAGTAGACGGAAACGCCATCTGTTGACACGCGTTTAATTACGCGGACACGGTAATCCTCAAGGAGGCCCTCTATGGTTCGACAAGAAACATCAATATCAAGCCAATCTGGCAAGAGTGACTCTGGTGGAAAGTCGAGATCCCCATCACTCCCATCGCCTTCCTCCAAAAATTCAGCGACATTTGTCGATTTCGAATAGGTGTTGTAATTCTCTTCGTATCGCTGAAGAACGTCCGGTGTCATGTCGAGGAAGAGCCATTGACTCGACCGACCGTCAGCCATGATGGTCCCCACCCAACTTCCTTTGCCATCGTATCCATTATGGTACTTGATGGAAAGGTGATAAGGGCGGGCATTGATATTTATCTTTCGTCTCACCGGTTTTATTTCAGGAGTACAAGAAAGCAGTCTGAACGCGTTTCTGACACGACCACAAGTTAACAGCATCATGCTGTGAGGGGTTGTTATTTAAAAGTGCCCAAATAATGACCTCGTCGCGGGGACGGGTGGCATGCCGTTGGCTGCGAAGATGACCTGCGTCTTCAATTCCACGGCGAATGGTCGACTTTTCGCGAGCTAGAACAAGTAAATGCCCAAGACTCCCGACAAATAGAGCCACATCAATGCAGCCATCTTCCCAGATTCAGCGTAGCAGATCAGGAAGTTGAATTGTGGCATCGCCCGAGCACAAGATATGGATGGACCTGTTTGCCTGGATAGCTTCCAAGCCTGTCCATGCCCGCACGCCACAGTCACAAAGAAGGAGAACCGAAAGCGCCGTCTCAAGAGTGCTGATATTGCTGGCATCTATGTCAACGGATTGCACGTCTTGTCACAACCCACGACAGCACTGCTCGTAGAAAACACATCGTTGATACTGCAGATGGCTTTTTTTCTGAGTGTCTTGTCCGTGGGAATGCATGCCGAGTCAATCCAATACGAATCGCAATTCAGTCGCCTCGCCAGACCACAGTACCGCTGGTGGAGGCATGTATTGATGCCATCTTCTGGCCTACCCCCCTGCCCATGTGCCCAGACGTGCGATATAGCAAGAGTGCGCGAGGATGCAGGCTGGTAAAACAAGCAGTCCATGTCGCTGTCGACCTTGACTGCTCGGGGCCCCTTGGCCACAATATAGGAGTCTTCATTCCATCTGATTTTTTGGCAGTTGCCTGAACAGGAACTACCGTGAGCCAACTGAGCGCACGATTCTGCAGCCGTAAACCGCTCGCACGATGACGGGTCGTCTCCTTTGCAGGCTTCGCTAGACGTCTTCAGGCAGCGTCCGGGCTCGTGTTCAAATTGAGAACTGAAACGGTTCAACAGCCTTCGGAAGTCGAGTGCCCGTGCTGGTTTCGTCCTTCGAAGGAGCTCCAAAGACCAATTGCAGAGATACTGGGTGGTTCCCGTCTCGCGATAGTCAGCATCCCCGCGCATTTGATGGTCTGCGAGCTCCCTTAACTGATCTGTTCCTGCAACCGAATATAGGTCAACCCATTGGGCAGACGGGCCGTTGTTCAGCTGTGCTCCTGCAATCATATAGAAGAGTATCATGACTGACCGATGCCACGCTACCGAGAGAAAGATTTCCGCAATTTGAAGGGCCACGGGATTGCGATGAGCTACATCTTCAAAACTAGAAAGGATATTTTCCAACGCCCGTGCCTTCTCCAACTCGTAGCTTGGCTTGATGATACTTTTACGACGCAATAACAGGGACCCGAGTTCATCACAGGTGTCCTGAAGTGCGGCCAAGGTTTGTATATAGTTGAATATGGCTCTAGCCGCAGGCAGCTTGCCGTCCTCGTTGCAGTTTGTTGAATGGATTGCAATCAAGACGGAGTCGGTGTCGATGTAGTTTGTCACAACCAAGTCGTTCCACATGGAATTGGAATCATACCCAGAGGCATGCATAACCTCCATGCGCTGCTGTCGTGAGACAATGCTACATAGTCGGCTCTTCGAGATTTCTTAACAAACAACCCCTCTAGAAACTTGACGCGGCCAAGTCGATCTCCTACGGTTTCTACCGCGGACGAATGGCTCCTCAGTTCAAACCCGAGCGACGACGAGTTTTGCGGTGTTCTGGGGAGCCGGTGCAGCAGCTTTGCAACTTGAGCAACATCGGCGTCCCTACCACTCTGCTCCTTCATCTGGCTCGGATGACAATGAAGTGCGTGAGGAAGTAAACTCGATAAAGTAGTATCAAGTCCTGTGAAGTGCGCGTCATGGTCTTGGGCGGCAATCGCCAAATCCCTGAGCAAAGTGAAGCGTGCAAAGCTGACCATTTCACGGCCAGCACCATGTTGATCATGGCTGTTGGGTTCGACATGATTCTGCGCCAGTGAAAGACAAAGACTTGCCTCTCTGTCCTCCTCCATACATTTTCTGATGACCTCAAGGGGGTAGAGAAGCAAGGGTCCTCTCAAATCACCCATCACGCGAGATCCAGTTATAGAGGCGGGAAGCTGAAAGAACGGAGGGCTGTTTGGGCGGTGTTCATGGAACGCACCGCAACAATAAAATGGGATCTCCTGAAGGTAGATGCGGAAAATATTGTCCTGCAAGTTGGTTCGAATGAAACGAACAAGGGAGACGGAACAAATGTTGTGGGTGGCGTGACCAAAAAAAAATGCGCCGTGGAATGGGCCGACCAGAAAATCAGAAGCATGGACATGCTCCAATGACCGTGAAAGAGATGGACGCCATGATTCCCGACTATACCGGTATTCTCTGACGTGTCGAATATTTGGTGTGCTCGTCAGAAATGATTCAATTGGCCATGCAAATGGGCCAATCCTTTGCGACAGCTGGAATGCGTCTCTATACCGCCCTATATGTTGTAGTCTGTGCTATAACTAAGATAAAGGCGTGAAGAGTGGTGAAAACCGGAAAACAGGGGTATTTCGACCGCCGTACTTATCTTGTACATCATCTATCGTAATTTGTCAACCCAGGGGCTCTCGTCCTTGCTTGACCTCGACTTGCGAGGCTCACAGATCGTCTGGTGTTGGACGGTCCCTTCGGCCTGGGATGAGCCCCAGCCATAGTTAAGAACAAAGGCGCAAAGAATACTGACCAGGAGACGACATGAGAAGCAGGTTTGTGTCCGTTGTAAGAGAAGCTCTTCTGTTGAGTACTCCGAACGGGGTACAAACTGGTTGCTCGCAAAAGCATGTGGTGGTGGCATAGCCTCGAGAAGTTTGGAGATTTAATTCAGGAGCCAGGGCCGGCCACCAAGGGACTTGAGGAACTATGCATGGCGAATAGCTCTCCTCATTGTTTGCCATTCAAATAGTTCCATTGTCGATATCCGGCCTTCGGATCCGGTGGATACGACTTCGACAATCTCAATGCTTGTTTCGATGTCTTTTCTTCAGTCGTTGCGAGTCGGATCTCTGCCAATTATTCGTGTACGTGCTCCGCAGTCCTTGAGCGAACATCGCAAGTCCTATTATACTCATATTCTCCTATCCGGCTCCGGCCTGTTAGGCTTTGGCATCGAGGGCAACATGCCAAACCTGCCTCACCGAGCACCGACCACAGACTTTGACATGCTATGACACGAGAATGAGGCGTTCGGTCGGCCGGCGACTCCCATTGGCTGTAATTACTATTCGACACGGATCTTGACGGTGTTGGTTGCACACGCTCGAGCTGTGACCATCAGTTGACCTCATCTTGTAGCACCATTGTTTGTTATTGGCCACGACAAGGCCAGTCGGCGATAATTTCTCATTGACCGACCTCAACTTGCCGTCGATGCAAATCAACATGTTGTAAGTGGGGTAGTGCCGCTTGACTTATTATTCGAGTAAAGTAGCAAAATGTGACACTGTTGTGTGAGGAATCCGAGGATACCAATCTTGGCAATTACCCGCGCGTCCAGCGGATATTCTCAACTCTGGTTGCAGCCAACTACTGTCAGAACCTCTGCGTCCGATCCAATGGGAGCCGCAACAGGCCCGAGATTCCTCCTGGAAGAGTATAGAGTCGTCATTGGCATGCTGAGACGTGTGAGGACGGGCGGCGAGAAAACGAGTCTGCCGCGCGTCTTGTATCCAAATACAAAAGTGCAGTGCAGAGAGTGTTGCAACGATCCGAACTTCAGCGCTATATACTCGACTGTCAGTCTTACCAGATTCTTTGAAATAATGTTCCATGTCTGGTGGCTTTCTGGAATCGTGGCATCAGGACGGCCTATTATTCCGTGATTGGTGTCGTGTCGCCGTTCTAATAGCACGAACCAGTCCGATACCATGCATAGCTACCCGTGTCACCCTAGTGTTTACATCCTTCTTGATGTGTGGTTGGTGGCATCTTCTGCGTCTCTTCGTTGAGCTGGAGCCAAGAGCCAAGAGATCACAAACTATGGGCGCACAACGACCAGTGCTCTTGGCATTGTGTTCTGTGTTCCCAACCCTACATGAAGCTGAGTTTTTTTTTGTCTCATTTTATGGTGATACGGTCTCGTTTAAGAGTGAGTGATGGGTGCCCATTACCCGACTTCTAAAATCCCTCACCTAGGGCCTCTACGCAAACTATGCCTGAGAGAGAGCTCTGAGTTTCATTGTGAAACTGCACGTCGACATGCTCGCCAGACTTGTCGACAGTACCAGTGTTTTGGGGATCCTCTTGGCGACTCTCGTTCTATATCTTGGTTACTTGACCCTTCGGCCAGTTCCAATTCCCGGCATTCCCTACAATGAGGATGCTGTGGTGCGAGCGTTTGGGGACTTGAAAGCCATGAAAGCGGCCAAATATCGCCGTCGATGGATATGGAGTCAGCCTAGAGAACACGACACAGTCATATATCAACTCTTTTTGTTTCCGTTCCGGCGGCCTACAGTCATTGTGTCAGATTACCGGGAGACAATGGACATCTGCTCTCGTCGAGTCAAGGAATTCGACCGAGGCAATCGCAACAGAGAATGTGTCGGCATAACTGCGCCCAACTTTCACTTCACCATGGAATCCAGAGACCCTAGGTTTAAGCACCACAAGGAGCTATTGAGAGACTTGATGACACCCTGGTTTCTGGAAACGGTGTGTGTTTCTTGTTGATACACTCGAGGCCGGAACCAAATTGCGGCATGAGATGCTAACGACTTTGCAAAGGTTGCGACGCCCCGAGTGTACGAGAATGCTGCTGCCCTCGTTGGCCTTTGGGGTGTTAAGGAGCTCAAGGCACTGGGAAGACCATTTTCTGCCAACCATGATTTGTATCTGTCGACGCTAGACACGATATGTGCCGTGGCATTTGGCGTGGACCTAGAAATGTCTGCCGTTGGACACCAAACCCGCCACATCGAGGCATTCAAACCTGTTCACCATTGGGGCTTAGGTGTTGTCGCACGATTCCCAACCGCTCCTACCGATGCCTACTTGGAATCGATACTCGATATTCCTGAAATGGTAGCAATTGCACAAAAGAGTTTCTTCCCTACGCTATCCCAGCGACTTGCGCTGCTGAGCCCAAAACACGCCAGGGCTCAATGGTATAGACGGAGGCTGATTCGGAAACAAACCGAACAAGCCCTGAGGAGGATATCCTCCCTTGGTGACCAGTACGCGCCCAAAAGTGCTTTGGATCACCTACTCCACAGAGAAATGGTGGCATCTTCCCGGGCCGGTAGAGCACCAGACTTCTTTTCCCCAGTCATTCGAGACGAGGTATGGATTCGAGACGTTCAATCAGTTGGTCTAAAGTCGCTAAGCGCTATCAGGTTCTCGGATATTTACTAGGCGGTCATGATAGCATAGCTACTGTGCTTTCCTGGTGGACCAAACACATGCAATGTTTTCAAGATGTGCAGTCACGGCTAAGACAAGCTCTGCGCCAGGCCTACCACAGAGCAGCCGAAGAGGGCCGTTGGCCAACGGCAGAAGAACTATCATCCACGTCAGTGCCGTACTTTGATGCTGTCGTGGAGGAGTCACTCCGAGTAGCCTCCGTTGCTACCCTCATCTCTCGAACGGCGACGTGCGATACTCATATACTTGGCCACAACATCCCCAAGGGAACCGATATTCTGTTGTCATTAACTGGGCCTTCTTTGACAGAGCCCGCTGTTCCAGTTTCTGAGCCAAGCCGAACAGCTGCTTGTAGGCAAGCCAAAGACCGTATCCCTGCTTGGGGAGACGACATTGAAGAGTACAAGCCAGAGAGGTGGCTCAAGGTCGAAAAGAGAGATGGTAGAGAAGGCGTTGAAGTGTTTAACCCTTATGCTGGGCCAAATCTTGCTTTTTCAACGGGACCTCGACAGTGTTTCGGCAAAAAGTTGGCACTCGTTCAACTAAAAACCACCATGGCACTACTGCTGTGGAATTTCGAGCTTCAGGAGGTAGAAGCGTCCCTGAGCGGGTGGGATATCACGGAGAGGCTGTTCAATCTACCCACGAATTGCTATGTGAAACTAGAGAGAATAGGACACGACAAGTTGGCCGCTCTGCCGTGAGTGGGGTATCATGGTAAAAATGGAGAAAAGAAAAAAAAGGGGGGGCATCTCTGAAAGGCGTTTGTTTGGTCCCATTTCCAGAATTCTATATCTTTTGAGGGTGGACCAGTTCCCGTCTACGTCTAAATCTTGCTGTTCCTTCAACGCCATTCCGCATCTATAAAACCACAGAGAAGACAAAAGCATACACAGAACCGACCTCCCCCCCTTACGCTGCCGACGGAGCCTGCTGCTCCTGACGCTCTCGAATGGCCGCTACGACTATGCTCCCTGCGTCTGCTGTCCCCTTGACCAACTTCCTAGCCTCCTCCAGCAGCTCAGCTTGTCTATTAAGATAGCTCAGGTACGTCTGCCACCCGACGGCCACAACGCCGGCGAAAATGCTTCGAAACTCAAACGGCAGGAAGGCCATGGAGAAGGCGACAGTCGCAGGCCACACCTTGAACGAGTTGAGCCAGCTGGTGGGGACGGTATCCCAAATCCGCTGGACGGTTGCTTCCAAGGATTCCCCGGACAGGAGGGCTTGGGCACCAAAGAAGTACGTGCTAAAGGTGGGCGTGAAGCAGAGCTGGTTCAGGGCGACCTTGGTAGCTATGGAGAGGGTTTTGGATGCGTAGTTGAAGTTTCTACTTAGGAAGCGGAACCTGAGGGCAAAGCCGGTGAGTGACATGGAGCGTTCGGAGGCAAAAAAAGGGCGGGAAGTTGGGATAGTTCTTACCAGTGAAAATACGGAACGGCAGCGGCGAATCCTATGAGAAGCATCCTCGCTGTCCTCTTGGGTTCGTATTCCCTTCCTCCGATACGCTGAGCACTCAGATCGGCAAAGAGATAAATGACGACGGCGCCTACAATTTGCGTAGTATACGGCCGTTTTCGCTGCGATCGACTGTATGCATTAGCGGCTGTAGTCAGAGGCCCCAAACGCTGCCAGATGGGTGGCAGAGATGGGGATGGGGTGGCAGAAGCGGTTGGCGTCTTTGCCGTGGCTGATTCTGCAGTCTTGTTGGCATTTGTAGATGTTGAATGCGCTCGGAGTTGCGTTTGCTGTCGCAAGGCGCGGAACTGCAGACGCACGGCGGCAGTGCGAAATTGCGTCAATGGCATGGTCAATTTGGCTCGGACAATGGTAGTTGTGTGTTTTGAACATGCGTACTCCGTGATGGGTAGTGGAAGATTGTGGAATGTAGTTTCTAGTTTGTGAAGTAATTGAGATTGGGACAAAATGGCGCCAAAGTGCTTGATAATTCGTCACTTGGGGGTCTCGGCATTAGACCGGAGATCCGGGCCGGGATCGGGTAAGCATTACGGGGTAAAAGTGGCCCTGTGACTCCGACATGATGGCAGCTCGATGGACCATCATCATTGGCCAATCGTAGCCGTGCCATTCCCCAAGGTGCTCGAGCGCGCCTGGCTACGGTACCCCATCAACCAGCAGACATCGACCCTTTCACGGTTGTGGCTTCCTTGTCAGCTCACTGTCAACTGCCCAACTAGTGTCAACTGGTAGTGCTGCCATAGGCCATCCAACCGGTTGACACTAGACAACTCTCCTCACCCATTCCCATCGATTCCAGTTAGGTTACGTTCGTTTCCCCCC